GTAGTGACTTGGAGGGGTATGTGTCAGAGGTGATTTAACGGTGTGTGTGTGTGTGTGTGTGTGTGTGTGTGTGTGCGCGCTGAGGTGAGGGTTGCATACATCTATGTGTAGTTAGGGTGCAACAGCAAATCTTCTCTGTGAGTTGTATCCCTTGGTCAGTCCAAGCCCAGCTTTTACTCATGGTCTCTCTCTCTCTCTCTCTCTCTCTCTCTCACACACACACACACACACACACACACTCACACACACACACACACACAGCAATTAACTTTTAGGGGAAGTAAGTCTAAAATACTAGAGAATCTCTCAACATGTCAGAGCTACAGAGTTCAGTGCTCACCATAGTAACAGTTTTTTCCTGTTCAAAACATGTATTGTTGGATTGCCAAAGGCTGGTCCAGGACCAGCAACACAGGGAGAATTGGTCCACGGATCGCTGCATATATACCGTTGGACACTCAGGTGAATGGCACACACTGTTTTTTATGGGTGGTCCCCCCATCCTATCTTTCATGATGTCAGCACACTTCTGATTGATTATTTCCTGCCACAGTTTTGGCTTTGAATTGTCCTTTGTTTTATGAATAATATTCTGAGGAGTTGGCAGGTTTTCTTCTAATATCCTTACTTGGCAAAATAAAAAATGACCACTCCTAGCTTTCGCCAATTGTTTGGAAGTTTTACCAGTCCAGAAGCCCTAATTTAAACTCTCCTGTTCTTACCCCATTGAGGGGGAGGAGAAGAGTGGGGAAATAGAGTCAGGGATATTGCATGCCACTCTCCCTTCTGAATCAGTGAGAACTTGCTATCTGGTAAGGGAGGTAGTGGATTTTCTTTTTTTCTCTCAAAGGAATTCCTGTCTTCTTGATAGGTGAAGGGGTTGCCCAGGTGCCCAAATCCATCTTTGCTAACAGGATCTGTTGTTTTTCTATGCCTTGGCACAGAATGCAAGAGAACAGCCTGAAATCTTAATGTATGCTTATAAAAGCAGTATACTCATAAACCAGCAGCATCAAATTTTTACAGGAATCCGGGGATCCATAAAGGAGAGGGGCAAGGGAGAGAGCTGATTCTTCCCACACATACGTCCTGAGCCTCCAAGTTTGTTTATCCATAATTGCTATGCAAGTATAAATTAGAAGAACAAATGCATCCTGCCTAGCAGTGGTGACACCAACCCTGTAAATAGTTATAATTTAGTCTTATAGCAAAGAGTTCTGAATGACTCCCCTAACAATTTCCTCTGCTTAGTTCCTTCCCCACTGAGTGACTTAATAGGAAAAGGAATACTCTTTCAGATTTGTTTCACTACAAAAGTTTGGACAACATGTAGACTCACACATGGAGGGCAGAAGCTGTAGGAGACCATTTGGCCTGCAGATAAACAAGTGAGTCGAAAAGGCCTTGGGACTGGAAGAGAGGGAACTGGCAAGGATATTCATCTTGGCACCTGTCTTTAGAAGTGAAAACTTGGGAACCACCTAACAAGAGGTCTAATAAGTAAACTATGCTACAGTCTTATAAGGGAATGCTACATAGCCTGGAAACCCCATCACAGATATGGCATGTCAAAATAGCATGCTGTCAGGGCTTAGGAGATAGGCTTTGGAATCAGATGAACCTGGGGCTGAATCCCAGCTCTGCTCCTTACTAGCTGTGTGACCTTGAGCAAGTAGTATAACCTCTCTGGGCCTCATTTTCCTCTCCTGTAAAAGGAGGAACACTATGCTATCTACTTCACAGAATTTTTATGAAGATGAAATGAAGTTATAGCTCTAAAGAGCTTATAACCTATCTTGCACATATTGATAGTAAAAGGTCAACAAATGATATTATTATCAAACCTTGTATATTTTGGAGGCAGTGGTAATGGTATAGAAAAACATTTCATGACACAATGATTAGCTAAAAATATGTAACTACAGATATTTTTAGATCCTAATTTGATAATATTAAAATATATATAAATAGCCAGCTAGCTTAATCTAGGCTAAGAAAAAAGGTCAAAGGGGAGTACATCAAAATTTTAATAGTTTTAATTTTTCCATATCTTTGTAGATTTTCCATGTTTTCTATTAGGATCATATGTATTACATTTACAGTCAGCAACATAGGAATTTTACAAAAAGAGGCAGAGGTCTGAGGGTCTTCACACTGGGCGGGTCATCGGGATTCCAGTTGAGTGAAGACTCACCTGAACCTTCAACCCAACTCCCAGCTTAAAATAACCAGCTGTTGCTCCTGGACTAGTTTATAGAACATCACCCTCCACAGAGCAGGCTGTCCTCACTCACATGCGCTTCTCTCAGCCCTCTGACCGGGGTAGGAAATGACCTGGCCAGCTTCCTGCAACAAGCTCATGGTAACACCAGAGTCTTTTGACTCCCACGTCGGCACACCTTCCACTGTGCCAGGAAACTTGAATTTTCCAATTACACTAGCTCCCAAATCTGAGCCTATATTTGGGGAAAATCCATTCCCACTTTATCCTTCTTAAATATTTAATGGTCACACTTGGCTCCTACCACGGGTTTGTCTGATTTTCTTACCGAAGAGACAATAAGCTCCTCAAAAAACCATGTCTTACTCAACTGGTGTCTCTACCACCGTGAAACTTGGCACAGGGGAGGTGTGCAATAGACCTGCCCCATTCCCCTCCTCTCCTCCTCTCCCTCCCATCTTCCTCCTCCCTATTCCCACTGACTGCCATGTCTCTGTCTTTCCTAGGATCTGCCCTTCTGACTCTTGTAAGTCACCCACTTTCTGCTCCATTCAGAATCCTCAGTGACACCTCCTCCACCCCAACTCCATGCACTGATCCCCACCTTCCCCTGACACCATGCAGCAACTAAGGTTCCAACGATGCCCCATCTTTGCCTAAAGTACACCTGGACATATCCTTATATTAGCTCCTGATGTGCTAACAAAGGTCCTCCTGATGCTTGTCACCCAAACAGGAGGCCAGATACTTCCTTAAGCCAAACTCAGTTTGAGCACATCCTGTGAGCCCAAGTCTGGGGACAATAAGTCACGATGGCTGTAAATCCTCAGTAATTCATATCCTCCCTAGCCCAACAGCAACTGAGACTCTCTATGGAGCACACCACAGAAAAGCCTGCGCTTTATTTAGCAAAGCCAGAACAAGAGGGAGAAGGTTCGTCCTTCCCTTCAGACAGTGAGACATAATGCCTTTCTGATATCTCAGGACCCTTGGAGTGGGAAGAATTAAGACTAAATATGCTCTGGTCTCAGCAATTGCCACTTACGGTTCTTGTCCCTTTTTGGATGCTATGTATATATCTTCCAGAAATGGAACAATATTTCAAATCATTTTACTAGACCTGTCCACATCCTGAGACCAGGACATTTTTAGTCTTAATGAAAGTCATTCAACCAAGACCCATCATAAAATTCTTCAGCAAGAACATGTTTCAAATCAGATATCAAAATCACTATAAAAATTTAGCCCAGCTCTAAAAACATGCAGTGGTTTTTCATTAGGATTAGATGAAAAGACTCCAAAAGTAGGTGTAAGGAAGTGGTAAAGAGGCCTCTGGCTGCATGTCCAGGCACTAAGGAGACCGTAAGCATCCCAGTAATTCACAGTTGCAGAGGATAGGGTAGGAAAGGAAGGGGGTATACTTACCAGAGGGAGGAGCCTTCTGTCCCAGTGACTTCCAGAAAGTCGTAACCATCCTCCAGCTGGAAGTCAATAAAGACTAGGGCAATGGTGTCTCCCAGTTCAGCCAGGATGGTCCACGTGCAGTCGGCATTGTTATGGTACTCCGAGGGGAAGTGGGGGCTGGAGATGATGCCACTCTGGCCCCGCAGGGTCCCACCACAGGCATCATCAGCTGTGGGCACAGAGACAAGAGGCTCACATGAGTGGTCTGGCTTTCAAACCCTAGCACTCACCATGGGCTTTACCTGTAACACATCTTTCTGTCTTCCAAGAATACAGTTCATAGTGTACGGACTAGATAAAGCAGTGAATAACTTTGGATGAGTCCATCTGAGAAGGCTTAACAGAGGAAGTTTCATTAGAGCTGGGTTTTGAAGAATGAGTAGGAGTTCACTAGATAGAGAAGAAAGGGAAGGACATTTCAGGGAAGAAGGAACCCAGTGGTCATAAGCACAGAAGTATAAATGTGCAAGGCATGTCTAAATAGCTCTAGATGGCTCATCACAGGGTAAAAAGGAATAATATAGTAATGGCATATAGGAGAAGTCGTATGGCAGAGAACACTGAGCCAAAAAGATTTGGAGATGGGAGTGCATTAGAAAGGAAATGGATCTTAGTGTCAGGAAGGTCTAGATTTGAATTTAGGCTCTACAGTTTCCCAGCCACCTGCATAACTTTGGAGAATTTATTTTTTAAGCCTCAGTTTGCTTCTCTGTTGCTGTGATAACTGTATTAGATAATTAATGTGATGGCACCTAGCATTAGCCAGTGACTAACATGTGGTAGATGCTAATGCTAGGTTCTCCTTTTTCCTTCCACTTCATCTTAAGGATCAAAGGCAGTGAAGAAATACGATTAAACTTGCATTTTAGAAAGAACATAGGCTATGGTATAAAGGAGGTCTGAGTCAGGGAAGCACATGGGATGCTCTTGGTATCACCAAAGTCACCAAAGTCCAGGTGAGGGTGGATGAGATTGAGCTAAGGTCATGGGGAGGCTGGGAGAGGACTTATTTGAGAGATATTTAGGAAGCAGGACCTCCAGGCCTCAGCAACTAGGAGGTATAAAATCCAGGTTGCTGGTATAAGCCTTTGAATGGATGAAAGGTACTATTTCTTGGGGCAGAAAACCCAGGAAGGGAACACCTTATAGTATGGAAAGCAATGAGGAGTTCAGTTTTGGACACACAGAAGTGGTATGTCTGTGCTGCATCTAATGGTGAGATCAGATTAACATACATATAGAAGTCATCTGGGCTAGAGATAAAAGTGATCTTGTTTAGCAGCTCTGAACTATTCTTATTAATGTTCTTTTACAGGGTCAAGAGAATCATGAGCCAACTCATAGCATTTCTCAATGCTAACTCCTAAGTTTGTGTGAGTGCAGAAATGTATGAAATACACCTACTCTCCCAGAGTAGGTGCTTACGAAAGTTTCCCTCCCACATCCATTAACTGAGCACCTACTGTGGGCCAAATACTGGGCTAGAGCCAGCACTACAATGTGAAAAGCTTGAATTCCTCTCTGCCCTCAAGTGCTTCTCAGAGATGAGGTGAGCAGGCAAGCCAGCAATGGCATCACAGAATTGTTATAATGGAGATGCTAAGGCACAGTGATGGCACATAGGTAGGAAGGGCTTTATGGAGGAGACAGCATTTTTATTAATATATTCATTCATTCATTCAACAAATGCTAACTGAACACCTACTATGTGTTAGTCACTGTTCTAGATGCTAGGGATTCAGCTGTGAATAAAACAAACAAAAATTCCTATCATCCCAGAGCTTACATTCTGATCAGAAGGATAAAGACAATTCCAAGATAAATAATTAACTCTATGGTAAATGAGGTGTTAAGTGCAGAGGAAAATGGGGTGTCTGGTGTTGGGAGTGGGGGTGTGGACATTTCAGAAAGGGTGGTCAGGGAAGACCCCATTGAGAAGTCAACACCTGAGCCAATACTTGGAGTGAGAGAGAAAGTCACGTGAGAAGAGCATTCCAGACAGATGGAACAGCAAATACAAAGGCCACACTGTGCAGATGCCTAGCACCATTGAAGAGCATCAAGAGACCCAAGGGGCTGGCATGCAGGAAGAAGAAGGAAAGTGGCAGGGGATCAGGTCAGCAGAGGCAGGGCCACCGAGGGCCTGAGAGGCCACTGTAAGGATGTGGACTTTTACTCTGAGTAAGTTGAGAAGCCAGTGGAGGGTTCTGGGCTGAGGATGATATGATCTCATTTGCATATTAACAGGATCCCTTGGGCTTCCAGGTAAATAACAGACCAAAGAGGGCAAGGGAAGAAGCTGGGGGCCTCTTGAAGCTACCATGATAATTCAATGAGAGGCGATGGTGGCTTAGACCAGGTGGTAACCGTGAGACATACAGTCTGGTTTCATTTCAAACACTGAGCTGGCAGCATACATCAGCTGAGGGATGCCTGCTTTGTAGGCCTCAGGGGAGAGGGTGTCTTGGGTAGAAAAACAACAAGGGCAGTTCAAGTTTGGGGAGTGTGGCATGTTTAGGGACTTACTAGGCAGGGCTGTCTGAACTTAAAGGGACATGCAGAGATGACAGAGCTGGGCTAGGCAGGAAGACAAGAGCTGGACCGTGAAGGGCCTTGAATGCCAAGTAGAGGAGCTGAGGTTCTATTCCCCTCCCCTCTTCTGGCTTTGCTACCCCCAACCCAGCTGCCCAGGCCCCAGGAAGCAGGAAGGGAGGGTAGGTAGGCAAGATTGGCCTTGCTTGGCCTTAAATCCAGTTTAGTGGTGCTGTTGATTTGTTTTATCAAGTTGTACAGTATTTCCGCCTTGGGTATCTCTCTGGCAGGAGGCTATGAAGTCTGACATCTGAGGCATAGTTTGTCTCCTTCTGATGTAAATAAATTCACCGTGAACATTACCAGAGAGATAAGCCACAGGAGCTAGCCAGCAAACGGTAGATTTGTCAATGTTGTTCCCAGCAAACAGTGGGCCCACTGGTCCCTGACAGTCCTGTCACTGGCCCTCACTATACCAGGTGGAACTGTCTTCAGCCCTGGGCACAATGGCTCAGTCTTGACTGCACTGGGGTAAGGGATCATGGTGAAGGAAGGGACAGTTAGTCCAAATCTTCAAAAAGGAGTAGGAGTGTGCTAGAAGGGGAAGAAATAGAAGAGTTCCAGATGGAGCAAACAGGCCCTCGGAGGCAAGAAGGCCTGGATGGGCACACTGCTTGGGTAAAAGCTTTGATGGTGCTGCTGAGGTGTTTGGACTTTCCTCTGCAAGTACAGGGGAGCCATGGTAGGTGTGGAAAAGAGGGTTTTCGGCAGGAAGTACAAGCCCAGACCTATTTTAGAAAGATGATTTGGTCCCCTAGTAATGGATGAATGGTGTGGTTTGGCAGGAGTGGAAGGTAGCCAGTGGGGAGACCAGAGACAGAGAATGGAGAAGAGGTTGTTCCCATCATCAAAGCTACAACTAGCCAGGGAGGAAAGAAAAGCAGCAGGAAGGGATTTAGGAGGCTGGCTGTGGAGGAACAAGAGGGTGTGGTCTCCAACAGAGAGTGGATGGTAAAGGAGAGAGTGGAGACAGGGACACTAGAGGAGATGCAGCTCTGCAGGAAGAATGACAGCCCCTCCTCCCCTCTTCCCCATTCCCTTGCTGAGTGTAAGATCCTGAGGAATAAACAGGTGGGGATACCTACGAGCCTGGGATCCCAGAGACTGTGAGGCAAGGAATCAGTAGGACCCAGAGGGACCTCCCACCACAGGAGTGGAGAAGAATGGGGACTGAACAGACATGTACGGAGCAGAGAGAAGCAAAGATACCTGAAGGAAGAGAAGGGGGGAAGGGAAGGGCACTCAGGTGGAAAAGTGAGCAGGGGCCAAACAGAAACATTACAGGGGGAGGGAGTGGCTCAGGAGGTGGGGAGCAGGTACAGCCACTCTGTGTGGACAAGTCTCCAACCGGGCCCTTGGTCCACATGGTCTCATTTAATCTGGCCTGCACATCCAGGTGGACAACCAAGAATTCCAGAAGGAGAGCAGGTCTTAGGGGACAGACAATGTCTCCAGAGCTTTCTGCCTACTTCCAGTCTTAGAACCCCAAGTAGATATTTCACATTGCTCTCAAACCCAACCGAACCCAAACCGCTCTCATCCTTTCCTCCCAGGAACCTAGCCTTCTTTCTGACTTTCTCATCTTGGAGTGTCAGCAATATTCACCCACTTCCTCATGCCAGAGGCTCAGGGTACATCCTCAACTCCTCCCGCACTCCCACATCCAGCCAGGGACTCACCTGGCAGTCCACCTAGGTGGTGCTCAATCCTATCCCCCACCACCACTGCCATTGCTCTACTCCAAGTTGACCACACCCATGAAGCCCCCTCCTGGTTTCCAAGCCTCCTTCCTCCTCCAGTCCATCCATTCCTTTTGTTTTTCAGTTTTAAAATTTTACTTTTAATTGACAGTAATTGTATATCCTTATGGAATACACTGCCATCTTTTGATATATGTATGTATTGTAGAATAATTAAATCAAGATAATTAACCTATCAATCACCTCACATACTTATTTTTTTGCATTGAGAACTTTATCTTGAAGCACTCCTTTAAAAAAAACTTATTGTTACAAAATATTTGTACATTTTTATGGGGCATGTGTGATTTTTTTTGACATGCATAGTAGTTTGCAAGACGATATAGTTTGGATGTCCCACCCAAATCTCATGTTGAAATGTAATCCCCAATACTGGAGGTGGGGCCTGATGGGAGGTATGTGGGTCATGGGGATGGATGCCTCATAGTTTGGGGCTGTCCTTGTGAGAGTGAGTGAGTCATCTCTAGATCGGCTTGTTGAAAATTGTGTGGCGCCTTCCCCTCACTGTCTCTCTCTCTCTTGCTCTAGTCATGTGATATGCCTGCTCCCACTTCGCCTTCTACCACGAGTAAAAGCTCCTTGAGGCCTCCCTAGAAGTTGAGCAGCTGCTGATGCTATGCCTCCCATACAGCCTGTGGAACCATGAGCCAATTAAAGTTCTTTTCTTTATGAATTAACCAGTCTCAGGCATTTCTTTACAGCAATACAAGAAAAGCCTAACACAGTATGTATTCTGATCCAGTCAGGGTATTTAGGGTATCCATCACCTCAAGGGTTTATCATTTTCATGTATTTGGAACATTTCAAGTTCTCTCTTCCAGCTATTTTGAAATATACAATACACCGTTGTTTTAACTATAGTCACCCGACTCTGCTATTGAACATTAGAACTTATTCTTCCTTCTACCTAACTCAGGGGTCCCCAACCCCTGGGCCATGGAGCAGGACCTGTTAAGACCTGAGCTGCACAGCAGGAGGTGAGTGTTGCACTAGTTATCTAATGCCTGATGATCTGAGGTGGAACAGTTTCAACCTGAAACCATCCCCCACCTCCTGTCCATGGAAAAATTATCTTCCATGAAACTGGCCCCTGGTGCCAAAAAGGTTGGGGACCGCTGACCTAACCGTATGCTTGTATCTGTTAACGAAACTCTCTTCATCCCTCACATCCTCCAACCCCTGACACACACAGCCTTCCCATACTCTGGCAACTATCAATCATTCTACTTTCAACTTCCATGAGTTTTTAACTTTTTAACTCCTCATATGCTGTGTTAGGTGATATTTGTCTTTCTGTGCCTGGCTTATTTCACTTAGCATAATGACTTCCAGTTCCACCCATGTTCCTGCAAATGACAGGATTTCATTCATTCTTTTCTTTTTTTTTTTTTTTTAAGTAGAGCTCGGGTTGTGCTGGACATTGCCCAGGCTGAATCTGAACTCCTGGGCTCAAGATACCCCTTGGCTCAGCCTTCTGAGTAACTGGGACTATGGGTGCATGCCACTGTACCTAGCTAATTTAATTTTTTAACATCTGAGTAGTATTCCACTGTGTGTGTGCGTGTGTGTGTACGTGTGTGTGTGTGTGTGTATATATATATATATATCTCACATATTCTTTATACATTTATCCAATGATGTGCACTTGGGTTGATTCCATATCTTTGCTGTTATGAATTGTGTTTCAGTAAACATGGGGGTGTAGGTATCCCTCTGATATACTGATTGCCTTTACTTTGGATAAATACTCAGTAGTGGAATTGCTTGATCATATGGTAGTTCTATTTTTAGTCTTTTGAGAACTCTCCATACTGTTTTCTATAGTGGCTGTACTAATTTACATTCCCACCAACAAAGTGTAAGAGTTCTCTTTTCTCCATATCCTTGCCAACATCTGTTGTTTTTGCTTTTTTAATAATAGCCATTCTAACTAGGGTAAAATAATATCTCATTGTGATTTTGACTTGCACTTCCCTGATGATTAGAGATGTTGAACATCTCTTCATATACCCGTTTGCCGTTTTTATGTCTTCTTTTGAAAAATGTCTATTCATGTCCTTAGCTCACTTTTTAATGGGATTATTTGTTTTTTGCTTTTTGAGTTGAGTTATTTGTACATTCTGGACATTAGTCCCCTGTCAGATGAATAGTTTGCAAATATTTTCTCATCTTTTCCAGGTTGTCTTTTCACTTTGTTGATGGTTTCTTTTTCTGTGTAGAAGCTTTTTGGTTTAATATAGTCCCATTTGTCTATTTTTGTTTTTGTTGCCCGTGCTTTTGGGGTCTTAGCCATAAAGTCTTTGCCTAGACCAATATCCTGGAATAATTCCCCCATGTTTCCTTCCAGTAGTTTTATAGTTTCAGATCTTAAGTTTAGGGCTTTAATTCATTTTAAGTTGATTTTTGCCTAAGGTAAGAGATGGGGTTTAGTTTCATTTTTCTGCATATGGCTATCCAGTTTTCCCAGCACAATTAAAGCAAGTGTCCTTTCCCTAATGCATGTTCATGGTGCCTTTGTTGAAAATCAGATGACTATAAGTATGTGAATTTATTTCTGGGCTTTCCCTTCTGTTCCATTTGTCTACGTGTCTGTTTTTATACCAATACCATCCTATATTGGTTACTATGGCCTTATAATATATTTTGAAGTCACATAGCATGATGCTTACTGCTTTATTCTTGTTGCTCAATATTGCTTTGGCAATTCAGGCTTTTTGTTGTTGTTATTGTTCCATATGAATTTTAGGATTGTTTCTTCTATTTCTGTGGAAAATGACACTGGTATTTTGATACGGATTACATTGAATCTGTAGATTGCTTTGTAGCCTCTGTCCATTCTTCACAGAGACCAGAGTAATACCAGAAAGCATGGGCCTGATTACACCACTCTCTCTGTTGGAACTGTCAATAACCCCCATTGTCACTCAGGATAAAGTGGAATACCCGATGTCTCACAAGGACCTTACAGGGCCTTGCCTCATGCCAGTCTCGCCCTCCCTACTATCTGCAGCCACCCTGGCCTCCTCCCAGTTCTTCTGATATACTTAGCATTTCCTTGCTCCAGGGCCTTTGAAACTGTGATTTTCTCTTTCTGGAAACTTCTGCCCTATTTTGTTGGGCCTGACTGCCCCCTGCCCTCGGCCTTTAGGTCCCAATCCAAGTCCTGCTTCCTCAAGGATCTTTCCAGAAACAAAATAACCTCTCCCTTATCATATTATCTATGAACACCACATATTTTGCCATAACGAAGAATTTTCCATAATTATTACTTAGCTAACATGTAGACAGTAAACTCCATGAGAACAGAGGCCAGGTCTGGTCTGTCCCTATCAACTAGCACATTTCCTGGCATACAGCAGGTACTTGACTAATATCTGCCAAACAAATAAATGTAAGAGGAAACTGAAGCTCAGAGAGGTTAAGTAACTTTCTCAAGGTTATAGACCCTCTGGCACTAGGATGGTAGTCTCCTCCACTATAAGGCACATCCCTGCTTGATAGTGCTTTGGTAAGGCATCCTGAGATTTTCAAACGTCCTAACTGTAGGCAATGATTTCTGGACTGTGCTAGAACTGAGGACTTAAGAACTTGAGATCCTCTGGCCAGAGCCACAGTCCCTTCTGAAGGTGGCACCTTTACCATTTTAGCCAACCCTGCCTCTTGGGCTTATCTAACACCCTGGCCCTCGCAATATCCTGTTTTGATTGAAGATCCTGCAGAAGCTGTTTAGAGGTTTACTCACACTTTAAACAAGGCATCATATTTCATGGTTACAACTCCAGAGTCATAAAGCATAACCTTCAGCTGACACCATAGTCCTAAAATATTCATTTACACTTTCTCCTTCTCTGGCAATGGATATTTTGCACCACCATTAAGTCATGCATATTCTGAGGTGTGTTATACTGATAGTTGTCTTTGCAAGTTTATGACTTTATTTATGATCGACTTTAAGTTCTGTGGGAATCTCTTCAATTAACCATAATTTTAGAGAATGATCCCTCAATTCTCTTTGGTGTCCGTGAACTCTACAATGACTGATGAATTTCAGGTGGGAAATGGAGAAAACAGAATTTTATCCTCTCCACTTCAGGCCAGCTGTAGGGTACCATCTTGTATGCCTAGAAGATCTGGGGTCCTTGGAATTGGCTTCTGTTCATATCATCTTCCCCAGGACCCCTCAGCATGTATGGAAATGAAGATGCCAACAGGTCTCAAAGGAGAAACCACCATCTTGCAATTCCAGTGCAAGACTGAGAGCACCAGGGCAGGAGTGCCCCATACCTGTTTCCCACCCCCTTTTCTTGTGCAGAATGGTTCAGTGTGCCTTTCCATGCTAGAGCCCCTATAACTTGCTCAACTTTCTCAGTCCCCTCTTCCTGGGGGCTTTGGACTCTACCCATTCACCATTGGCTTTGTCAATGACTCTCCTTAAAATGAAGAAATGACCAATTCTGAGAACATCACTTTTGTCCCCAGATTCCTATAGATATAGCCACCTGAGGTATCTTTCTGAGAAGAATGTAGACAGGACATGGTATTTGATTACATGACACTTCTTACTGAGCTTTCATTATGGGCCAGGCATTGTGCAAAATGCGTCATCTGCATTTTCTCCTTTAGCCCTCAAATCTTCAAGAGCATAGGTATTATCATGCACATTTTACAGATGAGAAAACAGAGGCTCCGTGAGTTTTTAAGACTTCCTGGTGGCCACATAGATACTAAATGTTGGAACTAGGGTTTGAACCAAAGACCTTATGACTCCAGGCCCACATCATTACCCACCTATTTCTTTGCCTCCTGGGCTTCAGTCACTGTAATCCTGTTCCTGACATGGGCTAGGAGCAGGCTTCTGGAAGCACTAGACCCTGGAGGTGGGGTTTTCCAGGCATGAGGTGCCTCCTCCTGCTCCCCTCTCTTCCACCTGTGGGCTTCATGCTGCCTCAAAAGTGCTGGCCCAGCTCCCAGTGCTCAAGTGGAGGTGGGTGAACCTAGGGTCTGGCTTTCTTTATAAGAAGGATAAGTAGCTTCCAGCCCCCACCCTGAAGCAGCCCAATAGAATGACCTCAGGCCCTTTCTTAGAGGTCTCTCTCCTAAGGAGCTTATGGAACAAGGAAGGTCAAGAGGAAACCACAAGAGACTGCCCATCCCTGACTGGTGGAGCCATGCAGGCAATGCATGCATCTGCAGGCCAAGCTCTCGGGCCCTGAACCACCAGGCTAGGGAAGCTCTGGAAATCACAGTGTCATTGTGAGTCTCCTGCTGTGGGCCAGAGGCCACCATCCTTGCCTGCAGTGGAGGGCAGTGGTCAAGATCATGGGTGTTAGGCATGTGGATGTGGGCTGAATCCTGGTTCCACCGCTCTCTAGCTGTGCGATCACAGGCAAAGCACCACACCTCTCTAGGCCTCAGTTTCCTCACTCATAACAGGAGATAACAGTACCTTAACCTCCTCGGGATTTGTGAGGATAAAGAAAGGTAATGCAGGTTGTGGTACTTAGGTAGGGCTCAATACATGGTGGCCAGTGAGGCTGTGGCAGTAAGACTGACAATGATTGATGCCCCTCACTGAATCATAACTATGAATAAGGCCCTCTGCTATGTACTTAGCATTTATCAACTTGAACCTCACTTCCAACTTGTGAG